ATCTTCACTAACTTATACCTCCCTCTCAACTTCCGTTCACCTCGCCCGATCACACTTTCGTAACGCTCTCTTCACTCATTCACCAGGTTACTTCCAAAGTCAAGCGCGCTAAAAGAAGTTTTACTTCAAATACCTATTTAAGAAACTGTGTGGAACAAAACAGATTACGTAACTTAGCTATGCTGTCTATGGCCTGATTTTTAAACTTTGATGATGTTATTGATACTTTTGCAGAACAGAAAGCTCGGAGAAAAGAATTTCATTAATAAACATCTTGTTAACATTAAACTATTATTTCATTATAAATATGTAATAGCTATGCTTTTGAAAATCATATATTTAACTAAAATGGGCACAATACTTCTGTTGGGTAACTAGCTCAGTGATTTATTGAAATTAAATTACAATGTGACGAATTTTCTTGTGGCCCCATCAAATGAATTTGCTACGAGACTCAGATGGTATAGTTATGCCACTGTACTGACCAAAACTATAACACTCTAATTTTTGTTATTGAATCATTAAAAAAATTCATGAAATTTATTTGATGAAGAGATTTTTGTGGAAAGAGTAATGTCAATTCCATTGTTTTAAATTAATTCTCAAAAATTGAAATACTCTCATTAATAAACAAATGTCTATTGAGCCTGATAAAATTTAATCTGCTATTATAAGGTAGCAGATGAAGATGCCAGAGAATTAGTTGACATTTTAATTATATTTCTTTCAGTCAGGCACATTTTGATAGAAGATTTTTATATCGAATGCAAATTCGATATAAAAATCTTGCGATATATTTACGTTAGAAATGAATGCGAATTCATTTCTAACGTAAATATATTACATATTCACGAAACCCTTTATTATTATTACTTAACCTATACTTCAATTTCAATGGGAAGTCTGTTTTGAACTGTATATTGGATTTTTTCTTTAATATTTTCACCTAACTACTTATTTGAAAGTTCACAGATTATTGATGGAATAGAAAACTCAAATAAAGAAATAAGAAGAATGTTGAATGATTTTCCTGAAATATTTATATGTGGTATGCAAAAAAACACTGAATTGAAGAAAAGTGTGTGAAAAATGTTTCCTGATTTTAGACGGAAGTCATTAGTCTTTGTGAAATGAGAAATGTTTTGTTTTTAGATTTTTATGGACTCTCTATTGTAACGATTCGGGAACATACATTACTAGAACTGAATTTCAAAATGCACTCCAAATTGAAGGTAAGTTACCACCACCAGATGGCTCGACCAAACCAAATTTGTCATGGGATCGAACCATCATCTCCCTTTTCGGAGTAAATCAGGACAAAGTAACTTTTGAAGACTTCAAAGCTTGGATCATCTACAACAAGGAAGCAACAGTTTTGTCCAAATGGTAAGAATGGTTTGATTTGAATGTTTGATGAAAAAATATAGCAGGAAATAAAAAAGAAACATTTTAGTTGTTATATTCACAAAGGTTTTGAAAGTCATCAAAATTTTGCAGATGAAGCTCAGTTTTTTTTGTATTCAGATGTAATACACTTTTCCAATGTGCTGTTCAAGTGTAAACTAAAAAGTTTACCCCATAAATTAATGTGTAATTTTTATATCTACTCGAAAGGTATAACTTCCCACAAAATAAACCATTCAAGTTGAAACGGTTAATATTTTTTTAGGAGAGATTATTGTTTAGAAAAGAAATGGTTTTGCCAAAACCTTTACCAATCATTAATAGAGAAAAACTAAGTGTATACATAATTTTTTCTTTAAATTGTATATAATCGTATAGACAAAATTTATAAATATGAGAAATGCAAAGGTGGGAATTTGAGAATGTTTTTTGGGTTAAGTGGAAGAACATTTTTTTTCTAGAAATGTACTGAGGCTTTCGTAATAGAATAGTGTAACTTTTTATAAGCATAAGTGTTGTGACTGTGCTCATGAACATGCTAACAACTAACGTTTGCTTGATTATATACCTCTAAAGCATGTATGAGATACAGGCACATATACTATTCACATGTTTTTAGTTCCCAATTTAATTCGAAAACTGTTCATTTATTTTGCCATTCAAGCAAAATAATTAGTTAAAAGTTGAGATTAAGCATATGAGTATACCTTGTTATTATATTGCAGTTCTTTTTATTTTTGAAAATATTCAATTATTTCTCAACAACTCTGTTGGAGATGTTTGTCACATAAACTAATTGGAATTGACACTCTTCAATTTTTTTATGTCAGTAAAAACAATTATTATTAAGATATTTGAAAATTTTGAGAATTTGTTGGTGTCTAATGAAAGTCACTATTTATTTAATCATTTGAATCATGAATCATCATTCAAGCATTCGAATTGCTTGAAATGAAGTGATAAAAGTTTTTAAGATAATTCAGAAGCTGCTTGATGTTTTTCAAGTACTTGCATAATAAATGGTTTTAGCAATTTTAGCACTCTTTCTTTCAGGTTGCTTTCAGCTCCTTGTGTGTCGCTCAGTTCTGAATTGGAAACACCTACTTTCTATCAAACACTTGCTGGAGTAACACATCTGGAAGAACAAGATATCTGCGAATTAGAGAAATGTTTCTGGGCTTTACAAAGTGCTTCGGTTACTGGTCATCTGGATTTCAGTTGTTTAAAGTCTCTCGTTTGTCCTCCTGTGCCCCTGAAAGCTTGCAAAGGGTAAATCCATCAATGCTTTTTCAAACAAGTGTGGGAATTATTTTTAAAAGTGATAAAACTTTTTTTGAAATGGAAATGATTTCACGAGCAGCACCTATAACACTAAAATCTCGGTTAAAATATAACAGTGAATGTGATTTTATGAAAATTTTAATGTTTCTATGCCAATTTATTTCGTCATGATATTATTAGCTTTTGAGAACTGATTAAAAAAATATATAGTGCAGAAAAAAAATGTCAAAAACAATTTTTAGTTATATGCTCTCAATATTTATATTTTCCATCAAAAATGTCTGAAATATTCGTCAATGCCCCAATGCCCTTCTTTATTGTTCTATTAGGATTTGAGTTATACTACACAGCAGAGCTTTGTGTTCAGTTTTGAATGTTCACCATTCTTCTCAATAGTTTCATCACCTCAAGTCTCTGTAGAGAAATAAAAATAAATGTGAGACAGTTCACTCAGGTTTCTAAGAAAACTCATCAATATTATATACTAGCTGATGCCTTCGATTTAATTTGCAGTTTTTAGATTTTCCCTCCAACAGCAAGAAGTTTTGTTTATCTTTGATTCAAAAGAAATTCGTTTTACAATAAAAAACATAAATATAGTTATACTACAATTCCATAATAGTAGGCACTAAATTCTCAGAAATGTTATTGCATTAAAACGAAAACATTGTTGTCAGGATGTTATTCTATATATTTTATCATCTTCTATTTAAATCATATACACGCATAGAATAACGGACGTGTTTTATTCATTAAAGAAACTTCCGCTAATGAAATGTTTTCAACAGCATCAATGTTCATTAAGTGAATATAAAAAAATTCAATTATATTATGTAGCTAAAATTTATAAATGGCAACGTTGCGTACATAGAAATGTTTGTGGGGCGGTAAAAAGAAAGGCAGATTAAATTTGCCGTAAGATATAGAGAGATATGAATATTGGCCGATCGACTGAGCACGGTTAGGTTAACATTCATGAGCATAACATTCATTGAATACTACGTAGAGTAATTTTTTTTTAATTGATCCGTTTCAGTCTGTTTCAACACAGTAGACAGTTTTGGAATTTATGTTATAAAAACTCTAAAATTAGAAATACCCTTTTTACTTTTAAGAACTCTTTCATTTGGAAAACTGTGTTTATGTGGAATAAAGTTTCTGAGAATGTTTTTACAAATAAATTCATTCTTCAGCGATTCAAATCCAATGTAAATTGATACTTTCGCATAGACACCGCTCTTAGAGCTCCCTAAGGATTTTCCTGTAGTGCTTGTGTTTTGCCCTTTAAAAAAATAATATAATAAATAATGATATTCTTGTATAATACCTACTCTGTATAAACATATAATAGAAATAATACACTTTCTATAGATTTAATCCATTGTTAAGAAGTTATAATGTAGTGGACATCACAATATTAGATACCTACATTTCTATGAAAAGGATTACCAGTAATTAAAAAAGAAATTTCAAATCAGGTAAAAACCAAGGGATTTGTTCAAGACAGAAACAAGGAAAATATCATTATAAATCAGTTTAATTTTGTGCTTTCAACTGTGAGCAATATGGAAAGTGAAAGCAGTCAAAGCAAACGCAGACATCCGAATTTATCTGAGAAAAAACTATTATGTACAATGTATATTGTGGGCTCCGTGAACGGAATGAAAATATGTTTCATAGCGATGTAGTTCATCTGTGTAGTGATTTAACTAAAGTATGAGAAGTGTTCACATAATTCATAAAACCTTTAAAGGAAATGAAGGTAAATGTGATAATGTGTCTGAAGACATCGAAACTAGAGGAAGAAAATAAATTCAGCTTGATGATTTAACCAAATATGGTATTCGTGGGAAATTTCTTTTTTTTTTTCAAAATGAATTCCCAACTTCGAAAAAAATCGCAGCCGTAATAAGTTTCGATGAATCGATGCCCAAAATATCACGACGTATTTTATTGCGCACATTGAAGCAAATGATCATTCAATTTATAAAAAGAGGTAGGAAATTTGTCCTTATAGAAAGAGAAGAAATTATTTTTTGAGGGAGAATTTACTTGAAAAAACCCGAGAGTATCGTAGAAGGTAGAAAGATTTAGTATTTAGATGAGACTTGGTTGAATCAAGGACATACTGTCTCAAATGTATGGCAAGGTTCAGAAATAAAAAGTTTTTTTTTTTAAGGATTGAAAGCGCTAGCTAGCAAAGGACAGAGCCTCATAATAATTCATATATACGATAAAAGAAGAAGACAAAAAGTGGGATCTCAACACTAGAAATTAATTTTTCCTGTTTAGTATAATTTCCGTACGCCACTGCAAGAGACAGATTAAGGCAAAAACATCAGTCATTTCTGAGAATTTAGTGCCTACTATTTTTGAACTGTAGAATAACCAAGTTTCAGCTAAATCAACTGAACAGGTTTTTTTATAGTTTTTTTTTACAATACACTAGTAAAAAATCACACCCAAATCCGTTAAGCCCTGTTTGAGATTTACTGGCACAAACTCAAAGATAAACAAACAAATAATCTAAGAGTTATTATTTTGGATTCTTTGTGCTAATAAACACTCCTCAATGATGGTTTTTCTCAAATATCTTTCATTTACAAACAGCGATCAATTACATTTTTATTATATGTATTGATATCAACTGATATTTCCTTCATTATCGATAAATTTTGGTTTGTGATAATATATTGTTTAAAAAACAATTTTATTAGAGATTATTTTCGAGTGGATTGAACTTTACCTTTTATTTTGAATGCATTTTTTCTCATATTGGTAATAATTGAATTATTATAGAAAATTCTGGTTTTCATGGCCATCTTTCAAAACTGTTTTCAGTTTAGAATTTTTAAGGCATCTTTGTTGAAATTTTTTAACCGACGTATACTCAACTCGAGTAACTGGAATCTTCTGAGGACTGTGTTATCGCTTCCGAGTACCTAAAAACCCAAAACCACTAACAGTTTTTTCAATTATTGTAATTATTCAGTACTTGCTCAGGTTCGCATTCCATACATTTTTCAATTGGGTTACATTGTGAGAATCCTGAGATGAAATAAAGTATTTTTTTGAAAAACTGCAGGGTGTTTCAGTTTGACCTAATGAACAAAATTTTTATAATTTCACTGAAAAAACAAGGATATTGTACACATTGCAATACATTACATCATATGGGTGATAAATATCTTCCTCACTTACAGGTTATTTCTGGCACTTGATGTAAATAGAGATGATCATGTCGATTTCAAAGAACTTTGTTGTGGCATATCTGCTGCTTGTCGGGGACCTTTAGTTGAGAGAATGAAATGTGAGTGAATTTCGTTATAATTATTTTATGTCAGTGGCGTATCTTTGTTGAGATTCCTTGATTAACTTGTGTTTCTAATGATATAAGTCTTGTTATTAATACATATTTTATAATTTTGTTCCAAACACAAATAATCCACATCTTCAAAAAACCGTTTTTTCACAAAAGGCCCTAACAAAAAAAATACCATTTGAAGTTTGAAGGCGGAAAAGAAAAATTCTAGCAATGAAGACCATAGTTGTTAGGAAAGTTGATGTTTGAGTTTTGTTCATAAATAAGGTGAATTTTCATTTTTCTCAAAAAAATATTTATTAGTTCATAAATTTTTTTTTACCCCCTTCAAAGTAGTCCTCTTCAGTTATATTGCAATTGTGCCAGCGTTTTTTAGTCCTTGAAGTAGTTTTGATATGCACTTTTTGCTATGTCCTTGAGCTTATCTCAGCGAAAGGACGCTGTCCTTTCATGGGTCTTTTTAATCTTGGGAACAGTAAAAAGTTGTAAGGGGTCAAATCTGGTGAATAAGGTGGCTGAGGCATGATTATGGTATTGTTTTTGGACAAAAAACGCGAACAAGCAATGACGAGTAAGCTAGTGTCCGACCGAAAGTTCGGTTTAGGTCGAGTTTCGGCATTACTTTCGGTTTCGGCGGCAAACCTGCAGTTGAATTTCATACAACGCGAAGACATTTTGCCGCGTCCACGTACCTAATCATGTCGTGACTCGTGATTTACTTTGTGATTTACTTTGTTTATTACATAAATATTAAGTACCTATTGTGATGTTAGGTAACAACTTAAATAAGTAATTTTATGTTTAATATTTTTAAAAAACCATTAATAATATTCAAAATAAGAATCTACACCTACATATTTTAAGTGTTTTTAAGGTGAAATTACTATTTTTTCTTAAGTAAGGGGTTGTTATGTTGATTTGTTGATCATCAATAACTGAAAATGTCGAAGACTGCATAACGTTGTGATTTGGAGATAAAAAGATAAAGATTGACTGATTTTTCCCTCAAAACATAATTTTTGTAAGGAAGTTTCGGTTTCGGCCGAAACTGAGACCGGTGCCGAAATTCGGTTTCGGTCGCAAAAACCAGTTTCGATTGGACACTAGAGTAAACAGGTGCATTATTGTGATGCAAAAGTCATGAATTGTTTTTCCACAATACCGGACGTTTTCTTCGTATTGCTTCTCGCAAGCGGCGAGATAATACTCCTTATTGACCGTATGATCATGTAACAAAGAACTCCAGATGCACTACGACACGGTAATCAAAGAAAATAGTGAGCAAAACTTCGATATTTGATCGAACTTGGCGTGCTTTTTTGGTCTTGGCTCTTCTGGTCTCTTCTATTGGGACGATTGGACTTGGTTTCGATGTCATAACCATATACCCATGATTCATCACCAGTGACGACCCTTTTAAGCAAATCTGGATCGCCATTCATTCAAATATTGCTGAGCGATGCTTATGCGATGGTTTTTTAAGTTAAAATTCAGCAGTTTTGGAACAAAGTATGCTGCCGCATACTGTATGCCCAAAATTTACGAAAAAATTGCATAGCATGAGCCAACCGGTATGCCGAAATCCTAACCAACTTCTCGAGTAGTGATTTCATGATTCTACATAACAATTTTCGTTACTTTGTTATTCGGCATTGTTATTCAAATCTTCTCAACCTTCTGTGAAAAGCTCGTACCACTTGAAAACATTTTTCTGCAAATTTTTTGATTCATTTTTTTCAATAGCAGAAAATCTCCGAACACGCAAAACACTTCTAATTTTTATGCCTCTCACCAACAAATTAAACGTGCTGAAACTGTGAAAATATGTTCGAGACGAGTGTACCAACAAAAAAAATTTGAAAAATCGCCAATTGAATGTACGTAGCCGGCGAAATTTGAACATTCATCTTATTTTTTGAACAACCCTGATACATCATAAAACATACACATAAACTTATGCCGAAATCCTAACCAACTTCTCGAGTAGTGATTTCATGATTCTACATAACAATTTTCGTTACTCAGTTATTGGGCATTGCTATTCAAATCTCCTCAATTTTTGAGCAATCACTTTTATCTTTTACAAAAAATTTTCTGCAAATTTTCTGATCCATTTTTTTCAATAGCAGAAAATCTCCGAACACGCAAAACACTTCTAATTTTTATCCCTCTCACCAACAAATTAAACTGTGAAAATATGTTCGAGACGAGTGTACCAACAAAAAAATTTGAAAAATCGCCAATTGAATGTACGTAGCCCGCGAAATTTGAACATTCACCTTATTTTTAGAACAACCCTGATACATCATAAACCATACACATAAATTGAATCACATCTAGAGAAAACTAAAATGAACTATGAGGTTTTAAATTTAATGGTTCAAAAGAGGATAGTCTTTTGATCCATTAGAGTTGTCTTCATTTTCTTGGTTCAGTATAACCATAGAAATAGTATTGCAACCATAAATTACTCCAAACTCATAATTGATGATTCAAAAGAAACCTACAATTTTTGCCTAATGTTGATGCATAATAATTGAAGTTAAAACTTCAGGATTATGCATTATGATTTGAAATGATGTTCTCTTGACACTAGTGTAGTCAATGTCTAGGAATTATGAATTGATATTATGCATTATCAACAGAATAATAAATTAAATTAATTTTTTCTTCAGTTTGTTTCAAAATATTCGATATGGACCGAGACTGTTACTTGAATTTCGAAGAGGTCCAACATATGACACAAACTCTCCTCTTCATTGCCAATGAAAACAAATTGTCATATTCCACCCAGATTTTCCATGAAGCTCTACAAAGGCGTGATTCATCAAAAGAAAATGCAACAGAACAGCAGTTGCCAGGAAATTTAGGAACTGAAATGGTGAAAACTCACCATTCTACTTTAGAGGGCTTGAAAGACAAATTGGACATGAAGGGAGGACTTACACTGGAGGATTATTTGGTTTGGAGTGTTGAGNATTTGACCGATAGCATGGGTTATGTTGGCTTTGAGGATCGCTATGTTTTGTGGCTTATTTGCATACACCTACGACTTGAGAAAACCCCGAAAGAAAAAGTCTAACGGGTCAAATCACATGATCTCGATGGCCAGTACACATCACTCCACATGATATGATCATACCCTCAAATCGCTCGTATAAAATATCCAATGTGGCGTGAGCTGTGTAGAACCTAGCGCCATCCTGTTGAAACCACATGTTGTTGGTGTCCAGGTCATCCAATTCAGGCCAAAAGAAGTTGGTAATCATCGACGTATAGTGCTCGCCATTAACAGTGACGGCACGGCTAATGTCGTTCTCAAAAAAAAATATTGACTGGTGACGCCACCACCCCAAAATCCACAACAAATAGTGACTTTTTCGGGATGCACTGGACGCTCGTGGATCTCATGTGGATTGGTATCGTTCCAAATTCGAAAATTTTGTTTGTTCACATACCCATACATTCAGAAATGGGCCTCTTCGCTGAGGATGATTTTTCAATGAAAATTAGGGTTAGTTGCCAACTGCTTCACAGCCTATTCAGTAAACACACATCGTTGTGTATGGTCGTTTAGCATCAGTTCCTGGGGCAGTTGAATTTTGTACAGGTTCAGGCCCAAGTTGCGGCGCAAAATTCGCCAAGTTGTGGTCTGCGAAAGGTGAAGAGAAATCGACTACCTCGGATTTTCCTGCATATTATCACATACAGCGGCAATGTTTCTGGCAGATATTACGTTTCGTTGACGTACGGGTGTTGGTCGATCGTTTACTGAACCAGTGGACTCAAATTTATTCACCACATTGCCAATAGTCTTCTCGGTAGAACGATCATGGCGATTGTAAAATGGGCTAAGCGCGCGGTATGTTGCCCGATCAGAACCCCCATTTTGATAAAAACATTTTTATTATTTGCATGTGTTGTTGAATGCTATATCCGTCCATGGTGATTTAGCAAAACAGATTAAATAAATGTTTTGTTCAAAAACTTTTCCATAAGAATAATTATTTTAATAAATAAATCGTTTAATATCTAACATGATTAACCCATTCAAACATAAACATAAAGCAAAAGATCAGTACAGTAAATAAAATGGTAGCAGTAATAATCAAAACAGTAATTCAGAAAGATTTGAAAAAGAAATGAACGAAAGGGAAGAAAATGGATAATAAATGAAATTTTATTAGCAATAATAACACAGACCATATACCCTAGACGGTTCACGGCAATGCTAAACAACAGAGACGGAAAAAGGCGCCATCTGAAGATTTGTATCAGTACCATTGTGACGGACTTGGGATATTCGAATGTTGTATATAATTGGAATATTCATTTTATTCAAATGTTTTTTGAAAATTTCAGCGTATTGTTTAGAGTCTCAAACTACACTTTATATTGAGTGTTGTGTGGACTTTAAACAATACGCTGAAATTTCCAAAAACAATGTAACTTATTATCCAGCCCTTTTAATCCATTTTCTACCTCATTTTCTGTAAATTGAATATAATGTAGTTCGTTATTAGCATTATTTGATTGTGAACTATTATAATTGAAGTCATTTGTTTCTGGTGTGTACACACTTTGAAAGTAAGTTGAAAACAGGTTGCAAATATCCTGTCCACTATTCGCTATGGTATTCATGTACTTGAAACTGGAGATGACAAATCCTAGGCATTGGTCATAAAAATTTAATTTCCAAGTATGCCTGATCTACTAAATATAGGTGTATCGATTTATGGATTAAGGACGGGTGTTACAGTTGCGTTTTTTTTAAGGGAGTCGATATCGGTAATGTAATTTGGGTATATTATTGAATCATATTCAAGAATTGATCTTGCAAAAGTAAATAATAAGTAAGGCACTATTAACAAAACCGAACATTGTGGGTGCATGAGAAGATATGTCAACAAGTCATTTGAAGTCTTGATGATTTTGAATAATTTCAAATCATTCACAAAATGTTGGAAGTGTGCCAATATGTGAGCCTTGTGGAACTCAGCAAGAGTGATCGGTAATGAAATGCTGTTTCTATACTTAAAGTATTGGATTTTGCCTGTGTCCATTTAATTAGAATACCAATAAGGCCATATACTTTGAGTTTAGTAGAGGCAGCATCAAAAGCCTTTGAGAAGTTTGTTTAGATGAAGTCTAATCTTCAAGACCTTTGTGATAAAATTTTAATGCATGATCAAGTTTATAGAAGTAAATTTGTACTGCCTAAATCTGTTGATTACTATTAATCAGATGATCACAGTCCCATGTCAGTTGTTTTGTTATGTTTTCCAACAGTTCAGAAAATAAAAACTAAATAAAATTCCAGCAGGAACTACTTTAATAGTGTAATGAAAGTTTATTTGTAACTGTTCCTAATTGCTATGTAGGGTGGACAAAAGTGGTTATAACTTTTCAGTTACCTAGGATACAATATTGAATCAATATTATATAGAAAGGGATGAACTAAGATATCTAACAGGCCTTCTTACAGGTCACTGTCATTTGAATCATCATATGCAGAGACTCGTGTGTTGCCTCTATTTGGAAAATGATGAAACAGCAGAGCAAGTCGTGGGACAATTTGAAAAATGATTTATAATATTGTTGGTTGTATGTTTGATCTACATCGACTTCGTAGAGTATCCTATATTATGTCGCATATTTTAAAATTGTGGTGCTTCAAAATATCTAACATTTGCCGTTGATCTTTTTTAATATCTCAAGTAATCACATTATGGACAAATTCAGAAATCTAGATTTTCTTTTTTATAGGGAAGTGAAGTTTAATTTTCATAAATTAGGTGGAATCCATTTATAATGACATCGAATGGAATTGACAAATACGTCATACAAAGCGTTTCATAAAAAAAACCTTTTTTATGAAAAATATGTATGTACTTATGTATTTTAATAGAGAAACATAGCATGTTAAAATCAAAATAAAAACTGCACGTAATAAGTACGATACATGTGTATGTAATATATTTTTATTTTTTCATTAGGAAATCTGTAATTTTTGCCTGCTTTCGTTTTTTCATTTTATTGTAATAACAGTCTCTAATACTATTGTGTATAGAAGACATCGCCATGGTCAAATTATAATTTTCAATGCAAGAACAAATCGTGATAATAATTCTGCAGCCTTTAATGCCTCTTCTGCGGTGAGTAATGGTTCGTCCTCGACTTCGTCTTCCCCATCACTCTCGAGTTGTTCCTTAACATTAATGTTCTGTACGATATTTTCATCGGAGGATTCTTCGGATGTGAGGAAAGCGCTGTTGATGTCAACAAAATCTTCCCACATTTCCGGTGCTGCTAAAGAATCTGAACTTAGGTAACCACAAAGATAAAGGGACGTCATCTTCTTCATCAAATTCATGTTCTCTTATTTGAACAGGTAAACCGTCATGGTTTTCAATGAATCCTGCATGTTTGAAACAGTTGTGAATGGTACTTTGTGACATTTTATTCCAGTCATCATTAACCATCAGAATTGCATCTAGCACCGTTATTTTTGTAGAAGAGTTCTTTTCATTAGCATCAAGATGATTAATCATTTTAAGCACAAGGTTCTTTCTAAAATTAGTTTTGAGTGATCTTATTATTCCCTGATCCATTGGCTGAAGTACTGATGTATTCGGCGGAAGGAAAGCAAGTATTATGGATTTTAAATCAGTAACTTTTGGATGCACCGTGTAATTATCAACCAGCAATAAAATCTTTTTCTTCTTCACCAAATCACGATCCCAATCTCGTGGCCATTTTTCCAAAAGTCCTGATGTCATCCAAGCTCTACGATTATTAGCATAATCGACGGGTAACGATTTGACACTGTTAAAACATCTTGGTTTTTGTGAATTTCCAATAACCAGCAATTTCTTATTCTCTGAGCTGCTCATATTTGCTGCTACCATGACAGTTATTCTTCTATCTTTCGACAACTTGCCTCCACTACAATTCTAACCTTTGAATCAAGTTTTGTTCGACATTAATTTGTGAAACAGCCCATTTCATCAGCGTTAAATATCTCATCATCAGAAAATTGTCTTAGTAGATTTGGCCACACAGATGTCAACCAGTTTGTTGTTGAATTTGGATCAACAGACGGAAGTTTCAGCGACAATTTTTTCTGCCACAATGTTGTGTCGAACTTTGAAAGGACTGATCCAGCTTGCAGAACAGTTCAAGTCAAGAATACCAAAATGCGCGGCAAAAACATTTGACTTTTCCTGTAATATAGGGCCGCTGACAGGTATTCCTTTGTTTCTCGTGATTTTAAACCACTGAATTAATGCTTGATCAACTTTTTTTTGTCGCGATTTTCGAAGCCTCTTCAGTTTCAAAACATTTGAATTGAACGATTGCTTAATCCGGTTTTTGTTTTTGGAAATCATTGAGATTGTCGAATGACGCACACCAAATTCCTTCGCGAGAGATGAGTTTGATTCTCCATTTTCTAATCTGCATATTATTGCACCTTTCTCCTCAATCGTAAATGCTTTACGGATTTGAGATGACATTTCGTTAACAGGATATTATTAGTTTACAGGAAACAAAGCATCACCTTCAAGTGTCAATTACTCACTGAGATTCAAAACAAAAACGAGCCACGTGCCGAACGTCGCGTCGGTGTCGTCGGGAATCAACGAACATTACCGAAGGTATAACTACGTCATGTTGGTCATTAAAACCGGACATGATTTATCAAAAATAAGCGACTTGTCGCTGTAAGGGAAGTCACTATATCCGACTTTTTCACAATGAATTTTATATGAGAACCACACTTTGTTGTGTAATTACGTCATACTAGGCGGTTGGTCAATAATATAAACGGAGTCATAGTAAACAGATTCTACTGTAATATATGTAATGTAAAGGATTTCGGGTCAATAGCTGTTTGGAATTTGCTAATAAGTAACTTTGATTACATTTCGAAATAATTGAAATATCTAAAATTTATGAATTCATAAGCCCTTCTTGGGAAATGGAGGACTATATTTCTATAGATTAGTGAAAATGATTTTTCACAACTGAAAATTGTCCATAATTTTAGATTTTCTGAAACAACATATTTTTCTAATGAACTCTTGTTTATAATTAGTTATGGGTTGGCTAGAACGAGAAGAACGTCGTGGTTACCATGTGGGTCAGTTTTGGTATCTTATCTCTTCGGATTGGTGGCAACAGTGGTTGAACTATACATCTGCCCCTCGAAACAACTTGGACTTTTGCAATTGCCGTTGCGATCCTAGAATACCTATTGAAGAAGGTATTGTTTGTGACGAAAGTCTCATAAGCAATACCACTGACTATACTTCGACTTCAAACGAATTCAATTCCAACAGCATGGAATCTATGGGAGATCTTCTTAGCAGAGGGGACAGGTAATTTTGGTTTATATTGAGTCAGTAGCGTTTGGATGTTTTTAAAATCGCGACGGAAAGAATGTTTTTATTTCATAATTTTACAGTTGCAGCATTGCTTCTAGCTCTGGTGTATCGAGCAGTTCTGGTACAGGACCCAAAAGGAGTTTAGGTCAACCAGGCCCAATAGATAATTCTAGTCTAGTAGGAGAACCCATGTGCAAAGTGCAAACACTGACTGGTGAAGGTAAGTAACACATTTGTCTCAAGTAAAAATCTACTTGTTGTTTGTTTGAAAGCTTTTGATACTAGTTTGAGTTTTCTGTGTTTGTTATCAAATAAAACATAAAGCACACCACCAAAATTTCCACAAATAACTTTCCATCACTCTCAGAAACAGAGCTCTTAAAGGTACTTAATGAAAGTACTCAGGTATTTAGTAGCAGTACTCCATATATTTTCAAATCACTAAAATACTGCTACCAAGTACCCTTCATTTTTGAATATGAGGATTGCCTTTTATATTTCGGGATTAGAGAAGATTGTTTTTCAAAATATTCCCCATGAAGATCTATACACTTTTGCATTCGTTTGAACCAATTGTCGAAGCACTTTTCCACTCTGATTGAGGTATCTCCAAAACATGTGTTCTGAATGCAGCAACTGCTTCTTCAGGTGTCGAAAAACGTTGACCTCTCAGTTTGTTTTTTACGCGCGGGAATAAAAAGAAGTCATTCGGTGCCAAGTCAGGACTATACGGCGGATGACTCTTCAAATCGATGTTTTGGGTGCTCAAAAATGCAGTTGTTTGAGCCGATGTGTGAGAGCTCGCATTGTCGTGATGAAGAGTGATCCGTCTTCGGCGGTTGGTTTTCTTGGATTTCTTGGAAGACAACTGGCAAACAAATGGTTGTGTACCACTCAGAATTAACTGTTCTGCGTTGTTCTAGTGATACGGTTGCGACATGTTCAGTTTTTCCGAAAAAACTTTCTACCATTTGCTTGGAAGTGCTTCGTGCGCGAATTACTTTTGTTAGATTTGGCTTATCTTGAAACACTCATACAGTCGATTGCTGTTTACTTTCGGGCTCATACGCGTAAATCCACGATGTCACCTGTCACGATGTCATAGACGTGTTTCGAAGCACCGCGATCGTATTTTTTGAGTATTTCCTGCGACCAATCGACATGAGCCTTTTTTGGAGCGATTGACAAATTGTGTGGCATTCAACGCAAACAAATTTTTTGGACAATCAAATATTTATGCAACATTGAATGTATGCTGGTCCCACTAATGCCTAAGGTTGTCTCAATCTCACGATAGGTCACATGACGATCTTGTAATATCAGTTCGTGCACAGCATCAATGGTTTTCGGAATAACAACTGTTATTGGTTGACCTTCACGAAATTCGTCTTGGAGTGAACTACGACCACGATTTAATTCACCATACCATCGATAAACACTAGTCCTTGATGGAGCTTCATCGCCAAAAATTGAATTAAGTTCATCCATGCACTGTTGCTGAGCTAATCCACGTCGAAAGTTGTGAAAAATAATCGCACGAAAATGTTCACGATTAAATTCTATTTTTGGGCCGAGATGAATCCTTTAAGTTACTGTAAACAACACAAATAGCGCGCGTATGTCAAAACGTTCTGAGTACGTATGTCCAACTTTACGATAGAGCTGTCAGTTGCCAGATTGCAACACTAGGGTTGTCAAATCACGAAACATAAAAGGCAACCCTCGTACAAGTATCGAGCTCATACATTTACTCAAATATGCAGTACCAATTCCTTCGTAAATAGGTAGGAAGATCGTTATTTAACCACATCATGATGTGGGTACAAACAAGTATGTATATTATAATTATGAAACATATCCAACCAAAACTACATCGATACAAACAGACACAAACACTCAAAAGTCCATAAGTGAAATATTCAGAACTTTCTAGAAGTATCATGTAATAATATTTTGTATAACTGAAAATATTTCTTACACATTTGGTGAAGTCAGGTGTATGATTTCATATATTAATTAGCAACATTTTTAGGAGGTCGCTTGAAACGTGACATTACGTTGGTACAAAGGCGAGATTTTGAACTGGTTCCGGATTCTCTGTGGAAAGCCCTTTCTATGTGGTATGGTGGTCCACTTCCTCTCCCCAGGCAGGTTATAAGACCTCCTGGTCACACTGAAGTTGAATTAGAACTTTACCCCCTCAACTTGAGAATCTTGAGGCATAATCCACAACAAAATGTTTCTACAGCTTCGTGGAGTAGCGTTGTTGGAAGGTATATTTATTCATTACTGTATTTGTTTTGAGATTCATTCAGTTTGGTTCAATGAGCAGTTTGCATAATTCTTGTTTGTATTTATAATAGTCTAATTTTTTTCAAAATTTACTGATTGAAGGATGCTTCACATTATGCCGAGCCAGGACCGATCCGTACCTCAACTTTATGCTACACTGTGATATTCGCTAGAGACAGACATGGCTGTGGCTGTGTAAACTATAAATAGTGATGACACTTTTTTTATTTTCTGTTTTTTGTATGAAGGTGTTAATATGTAATTTTCACAATTGAGTTGACAGTTAATGCAATACCCATTGATGACGATGTGTTGGAAATCCAAAACGAACCTACTGTATTATATTTATTATACAAATATTGTCCATTTTGTGTTGTCAAAGATAACCTCACTGTAATATGTGCTCACTGAGTTGCGAACACATTTATGTTACAATATGTTGCGGCTTAGCCTGGCGGAGCCGGTGAACAATATCCACTGACATTTTGACGCCGTTTCCTGACCGCAGCTTGGTCAACCATGGATTACTTCATACAATAGTGCACTACAGATATTTGACAGAGTTCCACCCTTCTAAGATAGCCCGTGGAGAAATTTGACTGAAATACCTAACTGAAAAGTAACCTATAGTTATGTAGGCCAGTTGAATAAACTTGACCTTTAATATATATATAATGAATAATATTCCGGAGAGGTGCATTATGACACACTCAAGGTTGTCCTTTCCTCTCATGCAGACCTACGACTTTGTAGGTACGTGTGGCAGATACCCAACGGAAAAAAAACCAACTAATCCATCTAATGCCGCGCAGAGAGTTGAAGTAAATCCATCAGGCACCTGTGCAACGTCTTCGACTTGGAAGATTCGTTGCAAGTTATTTCCCACAATGAAAAGCAGAAATTAATTTCGGTTGGTCGATCCTACTAACTGATAGACCGTTTTCGGGATGTTTGCCCCATCATCAGTATCGGGCAGAACGGTGTGAACCGTCTGAGTATCACGATCAAACAAACATAATTCCAGCTAGTCATGGAATATCTCTGCAGTTGATTCAGTGGAATGTCCACTGCGCACCTGCAGACAGCCAGGAAACAACTCCACAAGCATTCTCCAGGGTGGGAGTCGGAATAATGATTAATATTCCGGAGAGGTGCATTATGACATGTTCAAGATTGCCCCCTTTCCTCTCATGTAAACCTACGACTTTGTTGGTATGTGTGGCAGATACCCGACGGAAAAAACAACAACTAACCCAGCTAATGCCGCGCAGAAAGTTGAAGTAATATATATACATACATACAAATCATGTTGAATAGAAGCTTGTAGGGGGGTTCTAAATATCGGATATTGATGTTATTTTTTCATCACTTTGACTTTGGAGAAATGCTATGTTATTTATGAACCATGTTGCATAACTGTAAGACCTTATTTCAATTTTCAGTTATGGAGCTGCTGCTCTCAGCACAGCTGGTATTACACCAAATGTAAATGTAGGTACAAGAAGATACCTTGCACACACTGCTGCCTTCTCTCGTTTAGCAACCATTCAACAAGTTACAGACTTCCTTTGTCATCGCCTAAATCTAAGGCCAGAGGATGCACGCTTGTGGCTCTTGAAAGAACATTCAACAAGTTTATTAGATGACGATAACGCAACCTTGCAAGATTTAGGTATAGTAGATGCGGAACAGATACTGTTAGAGGTTAGGAACAAAGACTTGACATGGCCTGAAGAGTTGGGGCAGCTGGTAGCAAGTGGAGGTCATGATATAAGCCTAAGCGTTGAAAGGAGGCCCACCATATGTTTGCCACCCGGTGAGATAATTTTAATTGGGTGTTTACCAACTATGCTGTAACTTGTGATTATATAATTTTCAGGAGCCACGGGTCTGCACAATCTAGGCAATACTTGCTTTATGAATGCTGCTCTGCAAGCAGTTTCAAATACAAGACCATTGACCTTGTATTTTCAGAGAGATAACCAACTCTCCGAACTGAACAGCTCTAATCCTCATGGTACAAAAGGCGCGGTAGCTAGGAGGTATGCTGAACTTTGCCGTGAATTGTGGGCAGGATCTACTAGAAGCGTAGCTCCTCTTAAGCTTAGATACTGCCTAACTAAACATGCTCCTCATTTGGGAGGAGGAGGTCAGCATGATTCACAGGTATAAATATTTCTCTTTTTCATCTTATAGATATACTTAATACATTTTTTTGTAGTATGAGTATCCTAGAGATATCAACAGAGTTTCCCCAGAATATAATTCCATATTTTATCCTAGATTGAATATAAGCATGGTATGCAGAGAAGGCAGCTTCGGTTGAGACATGTTCTGACAGTATTCTCAATGCATAGCAATATTTTGCAATATTTTTTGATAAGTAGTCTATGTGATTTTTCCAGTTCAGTCTCTTATCTATCAAGAGTCCCAAAAATTTTACCTGATTGCATATGTTTATATTTTGATTATTATATTCAAAGGTATTCAACTCTGGCAAGGATTTATCATCTGAAAACTTAAGTAAACCGTTTGTTCATGAGCTTTTCAAAAATTTTACTGGTATTTGGCAATAATGATATAGGTCTATAGTTACTTTCTTCATCTCTGTTTCCTTTTTCTAATATAGCTTTAATAGGTGCCACTTTCAGTACTTCTGGAAATACTGCTTGTGAGAAACATAAATTTATAATATAAGTCAAAAGATAGGCTATGATCTCTGCTGNAAAAGCAAAAATTAGTAAACAAACAAGTGAAAAAAATTAGGAAGTTAATTACTGCATGCCAAAGACTTGAGTTTTGTGAAAAATCACATGGCACTTAACCTGTTATTTGATATGATTAAAACGTTTTTGAGATTTCTTTCATTATTCCTTTCATTTTTTAAAACTTTTTTTAATCATAACTCAATGTCCGTTTTTTTGAAATCAATTTAATGTGAAACATTTATATTGATTGTAGGAACTCCTAGCTTGGTTGCTAGATTCATTACATGAAGATCTGAATAGGGTGGCCAAAAAGCAGTACACAGAATTGAAAGATAGTGGAGGTAGACCTGATGAAGTGGTTGCTGAAGAAGCATGGCAACAACATTTAACGAGAGACCATTCTATAATTACTGATTTATTCTATGGGCAACTGAAAAGCAAGGTAAGTTTTCATACTAAATATTATTCTTGGTATTTTGTTATACTCTTTGAACAGTTTCAGTCTGCTGAATTCACAGTGAAGAAATTGAAATGTAGTCTATTTTATTCACAGAAATAAATAGTACATTGAACTTTTGGAAATGAGGCTACCTCATCTGTAATGAGCTTTAATGAGTTTGAGTTGTTATATATAGAAATGAATAGTACTTTATCACATTTTCTGCTCACGGAATACTATCGAGTATGTCATGCCTTTCCTCATGAATTACTTTGCAAACATCGTTCGATTCAGTATTCTGTTGTGTTATTAATCATCATATGTTCTGCAACTTTTCCCCCCTCTCCTCATAGTTAGTCATAGTATATCTTCTGTCGCCAACTATATCGTTTCCCAACTCAGGCCAATTCTACTTTTTCTTAGAGTAATTTTTTTTGTTAATTGTCTCTCATCTTGAATTTATGCAATGATTTATTCATCTAGAAGAATATGAGAAATATCCAACAAAGAACAGTCATTATAGTAAACAATATTATTGGAATAAGTGTTCTGTGAACACCATAAACTGTTGAAGCTGTAGTGTTAGACCGTTCCCAATCGACTGAAGTAAATAGTTAAAGTGACTCCCCGATTTTCCTCCTTATCCTCGATACTTCCCAGATATACTTGATGCCAGTTTTGGGACATAACTATGGAATAATTTTCCTGAGAGAGCTTCTCCAAAATCTCTCAGGGCAAGTCACAGATTGTTCTCCATTAGTTGTATATACATACTCGCAAAATATATTTGTTTACTGAAATTCCGATTACTCACTTCTATAGATAAAATTCGTTTTGATTAGATATCTCCTCACCTCATCCCAAAGAAAATGATTGAAATGAAATAAATAATTAAAATTTGTTAAATAGATGAGTTTTTAATTTTCTCTGCCATGTTAGGACAACTACCTAAAATTTTGCTTAGTAAAAGCACAATGGTATCATTTGAAAAATTCTCTATTATACTGAAGATAATCATTAATTCACTTTTATATCTCCCATCTCAAAATCGTAATATTTTATTTCAATTAGTGGATTTTCATTTCAGGTTACTTGCCAAACCTGTGGTCACGAGTCTGTCCGTTTTGATCCTTTCAACCTGTTGAGTTTACCTTTACCTATGGAAAGTTATACATTATGTGAAGTATTAGGTACATATTCATCAAATTATACATATTTTATTTCATGTTAACGAAAATTTGTTACAGTTTTAAGGTTGAACGGAGAGTGTCCAGTGAAGTATGGTATGCGTCTAAATTCAGAAGCCAGATATATTGACTTGAAGGCCCAGCTTTATGAAATAAGCGGTATAAAAGAGGAGAGGTGGCTCCTGGCCGAAGTGGCCTCATGTCAAATACGAAATACTTTGGTTGATGAGGCTAAAATCAATCCGAATACTGCAACGGAACTGTATGCCTATGAACTGCCAGATACCAATGAGATTAATCCAAAGACTGAAACCGAAATTGAAACAGGTATATAGGAATAATGTGCTTTTAGAAGTTTTCAATTCATACCATACATTTTTTTATATTTTTATGGCCTCTAAACTCCTGTGCTCAAACAGTAAACTCCAAACCTCAGAAATCGTTCCATTGTTTTGAATTTTATTTGTGGTTATCATTATCTTGATACATTGACTCAGCTTGATTTCACAATATTGAGTTCTCATTTCTAAATGTCAATTGATTTTATAAAGGTTGAAAAATTGTTGTTACAACTATCATCAAAATTCTGATTCATTCACAATGAAGTAATTTATACTTGTTATTAAATCATATCTCAATTTATGAATTTGGGGGGCTAGAAAATTAATTTAACTGATTCAGTGCCATAGACGGCACTGGTTGTATGCCATTGTATTTACCAACTAGGCCATGGTGCCACTTGTGACCAACATCAAGAAACTATTTGATCTGTTTCCGCCCGGTGAACACATTTAGGATATTTTCAATAGATATCGGTGTCTGCTAGGACCCTGTGCTCTAGAAAACTGATGTCAGGTTTTCGATTTCGTTTTAGGGGAGAACAGAAATTTAAAAAATGAAAATCCCATTCATAAACCACTGAATTAATGCTTGATC